GTAGACACAAATTAAACTAAATATATATGTGATAACAAACTTACAGTCCAACCAATTTGAATAAAATCTTCTCCAATTTGAACATGCATACAACTAGAACTGTATTGTGGTAGTTTAACCTTAGGATAATGTACAGTTAGCTCCATATATGATCCCATATATTTTTTTCCTTCTCCTTCTTTGGTATGGGACACCGCAAACTAATTATCATCACCATTTATTATAACATTGGTGTATGAGTTTGATGGAATTGTATATATTATACTACTTGTATATTTGAAAATATTAAATGATATGCTATTTACATGATGTTGGTCACTATCAACATTAGATTGATTATAAACAAAATTCCAAGAACTTTTGGGCCTATATGTTTTAGAGATTTAATCTAATCTTAATATTTCATCATTCGGGTCTATTTGTATAGGTATAGTACCAGTAGTACAACCTATACCATTTTCCCATAAATAACCAAAATTTTTATTATTTGTTTTTGAACTTCTTATGGATGATCTTGGACGCATCTACATTTCAGAAAAAAACTTTGTTAATGACTAAAATAATGATCACATATATTAAATAATACATACTTCGTAGTGGAATGAGTGATTTTTCATTGACGAGATGTCAAACGCTGGTTGTTTGTAAAAATCAACGCATTCATATTTATCGCCATGTGTGGTCTACCAACCATAAATGGAATAAATTAGAAAACTAATTTGTAAATCTTCATATAAACGGTTGTAATTATGGTGAACATATAAGCTCAAAAAAGTTGTGAACAAACTTGGATGATTTTAAGTTGTTGTTCAGTTACAAAATTACTGAAATTTTGTAATTTCTTAGCATCCATAAAACGATTATTGAGGCTCGCCATCTTGTCGTAATACACGATACAATTCACCAAAAATAACATCATCCTTAAACAGTTTAATTTCATTTTTCTTTTTAGAGAGTTAGGAGAACAATCAAAGAGAACATATAAATTTATATAATCATAACTATTTATATGTACAATAAAATTGAAATAAATGACAAAGAAAAACACAAATATTAATGTTTACTAGATATGCTTTACTTCTTATTCATTAAACATTAACTATTTTACTAATTCAACCGATTTTGTTTTATCCATTCCGTTATTACCATTATGACTTGTGTTTGTGTTGTGTATCTATATTAAAGAGGTATAAATTTGGATGGGTTATCTTTTTTTCTTTTTTCTTTTGGCATCTAAAACACAATTCTATAAATGTATCACCAAACCATACAAAGAGTTCAAAACCTCACACAAACATGGACCAATCTAACCAGAGAAAGTCCATCCTTATGAGTGGTAACGAAAGGATCCAAGAGACCACATTTTCGCAGCAATTCACAAACAAAACAGCATAAACACACCAAAGAGGATCAAACACATTCAACAT